AGAGCCCAGAAACAGCCCCTCCTATCCCCCCCATCCTGAGACCCACACTGCAGGGAGCCATGACTACCCCGGTCTGGGGCATTTCCACCAGCCCCTGGGCCAGGCTGATGATAGCAGCCAGCTCTGCAGAGACTTCTCTGACCTGGTCCTGAGGCTAGGCCCCTGCATTAGCCGTGCACGGCCTGGATAAAGGGAACCCCACCTCGCAGTGGAGTCCGTGGCTCAGAGGAGGACGGGTTTTTCTTTTCTCGATTTCTCTCCTTTTCAGTTGACCCTTGGCCTCAGGGGCTGAGCAGCCTGCTGCCCTGGTGTGTACTCAGCTGGGGCATTCACCGGTGTGGGAGGTGGGTCTTCATCACTCATGAAAGCTACTGGGGAACAAGATCTAGTGACCCACTGTGCTCTCTCTTGGGAGAGAAGATGTGGGGCTAGCACAAAAAGAGAAAAAAATGGGGTCTGGACACTGCTGCGGTAATTTGTGTGGAAAGTTGAGGGAAGCCATAACCCGGGGGATGGGACATCGCTCTCATCACACCCCCTTCTGAGGCTAGCAAACCAAAGAGACAAATTTCAGCACCCCGAGAATAGACTGTTACTGCTGAAAGTGTGTTGGTTTGTATGTGTACACACAGAGTAAATAGTTCAGTATGCTTCCCATCTGCGTGTAGTCCTCAGTGTGACGATTTGTTTAGTATATTTTAAAACCTTTCAGCTGCTTAGTGTATTCTGTAGCCTGCTAACAAGTTTTCTCCCAGTTTCGGGCTGTTCCTGAGAGAGATAAATCTGTTGTATTTGAGTTGGAGTTTTGTGTGTGTGCCCTTTTTAATAGCTTAGATGTGGATACAGCTACTACCCCAGTTAGGGGAATGTTACTCATTGGGAATCTATCTAGTAGCTGGATGGGAGCACTCCAGCATGCAGATGGCCCCGACATGGGTAAGAGGAGAAGCTGGGAAGGAGGTACTGTGGTGAAGGAACAATTTGGAAGCCCTTTGCCATAGTCTCCAGCATTCAGGTTCAGTCCTGAGGTCTTATGGGCAGCTGTGAGGTCCCATAAGAGGAAGGATGTCATGGACTCACAGGACTGGTACTTTCTCTTGGCTCTGTACGGTCCCTGGGCGGAATCCCCTTCAGGGCAACAGCCCTTCTCGGGGGTCCACTCTCACTCAGGGGTTAAGCCATTGTGTATGTAGGCCGGGATTTGTCCCTCTTAGCCTGGGTGTTCTCTCTCCTGGCTTCAGGAGTATTATGATAATAAGCTTTAACACTCTAGCATCTGTTTAAACCTTCTAAGACTACAGCTACACTAGAGAGTTTACAGCGGTGGAGCTGCAGCGATGCAGTGGTGCTGCTGTAAGCTCTCTAATGTAACCACTCTGAGCTGAAGGGAGAGCTCTCCAGTTGGCTTAACTACTCCAGCCCCGTGAGTGGCGGTAGCTATGTCGGTCGGGAGAGCTTCTTCCACCCACATAGTGCTGTCCACAGTGGTGCTTAGGTTGGTGTAACTTACATCGCTCGGGGGTGGCTTTTTCTGACCCCTGAGTGACGTAAGTTATACTGCAGCAAGTGCTAGTGTAGACATTGCCTAAGCTAGTTTCATGTTTTTCAAGTTGTTCCTGTCTTTTGTTCTGTCATTTGACTAATTCACACTGGTTTGCTATTTGAATAGTTGTGGCTAGAGTTAAATCTCTCTTCAGTTGTAGCTGCTGTGAAAGGATTTTATCTGTTAACCCAATAACCAGCTTGTCTGTGATATTTTCAAACTTTGCGTTCCCCAAATCACAGTTTTCAGCCTATCTATGCGGCACTCTCATAAAACATTCAAAACTTTCCCCTAGTTTTTGAGTTCTCTGGTGAAAACAAGCTCTTCCATAAGCTGTGTTTCTCTGAGGTATAAAGTATGCATCGAACATAGCCAGACCCCTTTCATAGTCACCTTTGTGACTGTCTTCAGTAAAGTCAAAGGATTTAAAGATATGCTCTGCCAGCTTCCCGTAGCCGACACTAAAGAAGATACCTGCGTCTCTCCAGTTTCTTTGTGCAGCTTGACAGCAATGTGAAATCTTGTTTCCAGTCTGTCCATGGTGAAGCTTGTGAAAGCTGAAGTTCTCTGGGGCACTGCGGAGTGGTCATGGTGATGAGATCCTGCAACCTTTGTAGCTTTGTTCCTTCTATTTCTGTTCGTAGTTTACTCCAGACACCGTCGTGTTCTTCTGTACCAGACACGGACTGGTCTCAGAGCTTGTTTTTACACACCACGGTCCTTTAATTCTCTGCCAGATATGGCTGAGGTTAGTTTTAAAAAAGGTATTTTACACACATCGCCACCTAGTGGCTGAGCAGTATAATACAGTTTAGCACTCCATTACACAGAGTGTGGGGCTGTCACACTCCAGGTCAGGGGGAAGCGAGGCTGGAGGGGAGCAGGGTGTGGGGTCCTTCACCGAAGCAGGCAGTGTGAAAGGAGGTGGCTTGGTTTGGAAGGGCTGGTGCAGTGTCATTGGTTCTGATGTCGCTCACCAGGTCTTGTCTTTTGCTGGCTACTTAGGGCTCTTCTGCACTGGAAACATTACAGTGGCCCAGTGGCAGCTCTGCAGCTACAGTGCTTCTGTGTAGATGCGACTGACGCCGACAGGAGGGGCAGGAGGGTCAATCCACCTCCCTGAGAGGCAGTAGAGAGGTCACTGAAATACAACATGCAGATGAGTCTTTTCTCTCAGTGCATCAAAAGATGGCAGGGGAGAGCTCACTCAGGCCACTGCTTATATCAGCCAGTGTTTGGAGATCCCCAAGGTGACCAGCCATGGAGACAGAGACTTACCTCATCTCTTTGCTTTCTTTCAGCTTCCATGACAGGATTCCCCATGGCAGGTAAATACAAACATAGGCAGAGGGTGCGGGGGTCTGTCCGTATGTGCGGGGTGCATGCTGCAGTGTGCAGCTCTCTCATAAATTGGGGCGAGGAAGGGCAGAGTTAAGGTTATTTAATCTAGTCGTTCAAGTGTAGGACTGGAGACAGGGGTTCAAATCCTGCCTCCTCCAGACTTACTCCATGGTCTCAGCCCATCACTTCCTCAGTTCCCCCCCCCAAATGAATTGTTAACAAGGTGGGCTGTGTGGCAGAGTGAGCAGAGCACAGGGCATCCTGGCTGTTGGGTACCTGTGGAAATGCTCCTTTCATTCAGTGTCTCAGGGGCTCACTCTTGCCCTGTAAGGCTAGGGATGAGGAGGGCTAGCTCAGTGGTTTGAGCATTGGTTTGCTAAACCCAGGGTTGTGAGTTCTATACTTGAAGGGGCCGTTTAGGGATCTGGGGCAAAACTCTGTCTGGGGATTGGTCCTGCCCTGAGCAGGGGGTTGGACTAGATGACCTCCTGAGGTCCCTTCTAACCCTGGTATTCTATAATAAGGCCAATTGAAATTTGGGCTCTGGCAGCGGCTGGCTGAGCCGCGTCAGTCTGGGGTGACTCCAGATTTACCCTGGGGTATGATCTGCCCCAACAGATATTTTTGCCTTTAGTTATTGTTAGAGCTGTTACAGCTTATCCCTGGCTGTGGCTGGTGAGTGGCCCCACCCCTGCAAAGGGCAAGTGGAGGTGCTGTTTACCTAGGGCATGTCTCCGGCGGGTAGCAATCGATCTATTGGGGATCGACTTATCGCGTCTAGTGAAGACACGATAAAATCGATCCCCGATCGCTCTGCCGTTGACCCCAGAAATCCACCGTGGCAAGAGGCGGAAGCGGAGTTGACGGCGGAGCGGCAGTGGTCGACTCGCCGCCGTCCTCACAGCCAGGTAAGTCAACCTAAAATACACAACTTCAGCTACGCTATTCACGTAGCTGAAGTTGCGTATCTTAGGTCGACCCCCCCCCACGTAGTGTAGACCTAGCCCTACACTGGGGTGCTGTGATGCTAGCTGGGACCTGCGGAAGGTGGGGGTGGGGTACGACGAGCTGAGCTGCCGAGGTGCTGTCACCACAGGAGGGTGCTCAGTTCAGCACGGCACCAGCCCTGTTGTTCTGGACGCTGTGGAATATAGAGGAGCCCGGTCAGGGCCAATGGAGACTTTGGAGGAGCAGAACTACAGCCCTATGGAATAGCTGCTGTTGGCTCCAGTCAGGCAGGGTCATCGGGGCGCAGACAGGGAGGGAGCCCAGGCAGGGGCAAAGGGCAGTTCAGTCTCCTGACCAATTACGCTGTTTGCCCCTCGGCTGGGAGCCGCTCAGACTGAGGGCTGGGCTGGGCTGCACACACCTGTCCTGTCATGGAGGGGAATTTACCCCAGCAGCTCATTTCACATTTTGGGCATCAGAGAGCTGCAATGGCTGCGACTTCCACTCACTACCAGCTTGGACCCAGGGCCTCAGATGTGAAAGCCCAGTGCCTGTTCCCCCCATGCCAGGCACTGCCCCTGCCTCAGCTGGGGCCAAACGGGAACTGGTGCCATCCAGGGGAAAAGCCGCAGGTCTCCTTCTCCCAACATACAGCGTCAGCTCATTCCCCTCGCACAGACTGTACTGGAGCCGGCTTCTCCTGGAGGGAAAGACCCTGTGTCCCATTCTCCATCCCATGAGTCAGCCATTCCCCCATGCCTGGGGCTGGATCAGAGCTGGTGACCTCCAGAGAGGAACCCCCCAGTGTCCTTTTCTCAGCCCCCCTGAGCCAGCCAGTCTGCCACACAGGGACTGAATGGAAGCCAGAAAAAACAATAGGGGAAAAGCCCCATATTTCTTTCCTCTAGCCCATCCCTAAGTGTTTATTCCCTTGGGGTATTTGCAGACTCAGGCGTCCTAGAACTAACTCAGCTCCGACTGGCGAATGGCCCGAGTCGCTGCGCTGGGAGAGTCGAGGTGCTTCACAACCATCGGTGGGGAACTGTGTGTGATGACAGCTGGGACATAATTGATGCTGGAGTCGTGTGCAGGCAGTTGGGCTGTGGGACGGCGTTATCAGCCCCAGGAGGGGCTCAATTTGGGCGAGGATCAGACCCTATCTGGCTGGATGACGTCAACTGCGCAGGAACAGAAACTGCCCTCTCCGATTGCAGGGCTCTGCCTTGGGGACACAATAACTGTAACCACGGAGAAGATGCTGGTGTTGTGTGCTCAGGTAACCTTCATCTACCACCGTGCGTGTTGCAGGGAGCAGAGTGGGAAGCTCATTAAAGGGCATTGTCCCCTCACAGTCACTGCTGACCCCAACATGGTGCCTGGCGCCCGTGCTTCAGGGAGCAATATGGCAATTCCACTAGGGAGCGCTCTCCTCTCAGACTGTGCTGACCCTAATTCCCCTGTGAGCTTCTATGGGTCTGTGGTGCAGGGAGCAGTGTGGGGGCTCAGTAGAGGACGGTCATGCACTCCCCATGAAGTCAGTGCTGGCCCAGATGACTAGGTGACAGCTGGCTGGGAGAGGGGTGGACAAACTTCAACATTGCCCAAGTGATTAGCCTGGTCAGTGGTGGGGAGCCCTCGACAGGCAGTGGCTGCGTGCAGAGACCGGTTAGATCTGTCGGTGAGAGGCGCTACGTTCCCCAGCGACACGAAAGATCAGATGAACAGGAACCTCCCTGAGTGTTTATTCCCTTGGGGTGTTTGCAGACTCTGGCATTTCAGAAGTGGCTCAGCTCCGACTGGTGAACAGCTCGAGTCGCTGCGCTGGGAGGGTCGAGGTGCTTCACAACCAGCAGTGGGGAACCGTGTGTGATGACAGCTGGGACTTACAGGATGCCGGAGTTGTGTGCAGGCAGTTGGGCTGTGGGACGGCGTTATTAGCCCCAGAAGGGGCTCAATTTGGGCGAGGATCGGACCCTATCTGGCTGGATGATGTCAACTGCGCAGGGACAGAAGCTGCCCTCTTCGATTGCAGGGCTCCGCCTTGGGGAGAGAATAACTGTAACCATGGAGAAGATGCCGGTGTTGTGTGCTCAGGTAACTTGCATCCATCACGTCACTGTGGGTGATGCAGGGATCGGGATGGGAAGCTTTCAGCACAGACCGAGCTCTCCTGTCTGAGTCAGCCCTGACCCCAGTGCCCCAGCATGGTGCTAAGTGTCTGTACTGCAGGGAGCAGGTTCACTGTCACAGTAAGTGTCACTCTTCCCGTAGTGTCAGCGCTGACCCCATTTCCCCCACACAGTTCCACATGCCTGTGCTGCAGGGAGCGGGATGGGGGCTCAGCATGGGGCGCTCTCCCCTAGAAGTCAATGCTGGGCCAGTGCCCCAGCACACCACGTAGGGCCTGCGCTGCAGGGAGCAGTACGTGTGTCTCTGTGAGAAACCATCTGTGGTTAAGCACCCGCTGTGGTGCCTCTGTGGTGAATGAGTGGAGTGGGTTAACTATGGAGGTGATGGAATCTCCACCCTTAGAGGTTTTTAATGCCCGGCTTGATAAACCCTTGGCTGGGTTGATTTAGTTGGGATTGATAATGCATTTAGCAGGGCATTGGACTAGATGACCTCCTGAGGTCTCTTCCAACCCTAATATTTTATGATTCTATGACCCTTCCCGTTGCTGATCGCTCTGATCCCCCTGCTCCGCTACAGCACAATGGGGTGCTGGGTAACCGTAGATCCCATTTGTGGGATTTGGAGTTGAATGGATCCTGCAGCCTCTCAGGGATCCCTTTATGAAGTGTGGAGTTCCTATCCCTGTCACTCCGGGTGATTTCCATCTCAGCTAATTACCCCTGAACCTGGAATATGTCCCACTGCTATGACTGGAGACAGGGTTCTTCCTCACTTCCTCTCCTACACAGCCCATGAGTTTCTGTGCCCTGTCTCTCGTCTACCCTGTTCCACCCCACAGGTGCTGCATGGTAGTGGTGGGGAGTAGGGCTGTCAAGTTATTAAAAAAAATCATGATTAATCGTTAGATAAAAAATTAATCATGATTAATCGCACAATTAATCGCCCTTTACACAATAATATTTCAATTATATTTCAATTTTTGGGGATTTTTTCTACATTTTCAAATATATTGATTTCAGTTACAACACAGAATACAAAGTGTACAGTGCTCACTTTATATTTATTTTTGATTACAAATGTTTTCACTGTAAAAAAGAATCAAAAGAAATAGTTTTTTCAATTCACGTCATACAAGTACTGTAGTACAATCTCTTTATCTGGAAAATTGATCTTACAAATATAGAATGATTTACAAAGAATAACTGCAATCAACAATAAAAGAATGTAAAATTTGAGATCGTACAAGTCCACTGAGTCCTACATCTCGTTCAGCCAATCACTGAGACAGACAAGTTTGTTTACATTTGCAGGAGATAATGCTGCTTGGTTCTTGTTTACAATGTTACCTGGAAGTGACAACAGGCATTCACATGGCACTGTTGTAGCTGGTGTAGCAACATATTTATGTGCCAGATGCGCTAAAAATTCTTATGTCTCTTCATGCTTAGACCACCATTCCAGACGAGATGAGTCCATGCTGATGATGGGTTCTGCTCGATAACAATCCAAAGCAGTGCATACTGACAAATGTTCATTTTCATCATCTGAGTCACATGCAACCAACAGAAAGTTGATTTTCTTTTTTGGTGGTTCAGCTTCTGTAATTTCCGTATTGGAGTGTTGCACTTTTAAGACTTCTGGAAGCATGTGCCACCCCTCGTCCCTCTCAGGTTTTGGAAGGCACTTCATATTCTTAAACCTTGGGTCAAGTGCTGTAGCTAACTTTAGAAATGTCACATTGGTACCTTCTTTGTGTTTTGTGAAATTTGCAGTGAAAGTGTTCTTAAAACGAACAACATGTGCTGAGTCATCGTCAGAGACTACTGTAACATGAAAGATATGGCAGAATGCAGGTAAAATACATAGCAGGAGATACACAATTCTCCCCCAAGGATTGCAGTCACAAATTAAATCAACACATTACTTTTTTAACGAGCATCATCAGCATGGAAGCATGTCGTCTGGAATGGTGGCCGAAGCATGAAGGGGCACGTGAAAGTTTAGCATATCTGGCACGTAAATACCTTGCAATGCTACCTGGAAAAGTGCCATGCGAATGCCTCTTCTCACTTTCGGGTGACATTGCAGATAAGAAGCAGGCAGCGTTATCGCCCGTAAGTTTAAACAAACTTGTTTGTCTGAATGATTGCCTGAACAAGAAGTAAGACTGAGAGGATGTGTGTAGGCTCTAAGTTTTACAGGGGTGTGAAGCGTTGGCTCTGACAGGGACTTGGGTGTGGGAGGGGACTTAGTAGGTGGGAGTGGGTGCAGGGTGCAGGATCCGGGGGCCGCTCAGCTTGGATGGCTCTCCTCAAGCGGCGACCTGTCCCAGGCTCCGGCTACTCGTAACCAGAGGCGCGTCAGGCGGCTCTGCATGCTGCCTCCACCCAGTGCTGTCTGCACAGCTCCCATTGGCTGGGAACTATGGCCAATGGGAGCTGCGGGGCGGCGCCTGCGGAAGGAGGGAGTGCGCGAAGCTGCCTGCCCCTCCTCCTCCTAGGAGCAGCCGAGACAAGTTGCCACTTGCGGAGAGCTGCCCAAGGTGAGTAGCCCCAGGATCCGGCACCGTGCACCCCATACTGCACCCGAGCTGCCTGCCCCGAGCCCCCTCCCTCACGCAAACTTCCTCCCAGAGCCCCTGATCCACACCCTCTCCCGTACCCCAACCCCCAGCCCCGCACTCCCTCCCGCACCCAAACTCCCTGCCTCTTAGTTAACCGGCATTTTTCATTTACCTGCACCCCCTGTTCTCCCAACGTGCCGGATAAAACAACTTCAACTGTAATAATATAAAGTGAGAACTGTACATATTGTATTCTGTGTTGTAACTGAAATCAATATATTTGAAAACATAGACAAACATCCAAAATATTCAAGAAATTTCAATTAGTATTCTATTGTTTAACAGTGCAATTAAAACTGCGATTAATCGTGATAAATTTTTTTAATCACAATTTTTTGAGTTAATCGCGTGAGATAACTGCGATTAGTTGACAGGGAGTGAACCCCTAACAGGCTGTTGCAGAGGCTGTTCAGACCCATCAGTGGGAGGCACTATGTTCACCAGTGACACTAGTGATCCGATGCACAGGAACCTCCCTGAGTGTTTATTCCCTTGGATGTTTGCAGACGCTGGCAGCTCAGAAGTGGCTCAAATCCGACTGGTGAACAGCAGGAGTCGCTGCGCTGGGAGGGTCGAGGTGCTTCACAACCAACAGTGGGGAACCGTGTGTGATGACAGCTGGGACATAACTGATGCTGGAGTTGTGTGCAGGCAGCTGGGCTGTGGGACGGCGTTATCAGCCCCAGGAGGGGCTCGATTTGGGCGAGGATCTGACCGTATCTGGCTGGATGACGTCAACTGCGCAGGGACAGAAGCTGCCCTCACCGAATGCAGGGCTCAGCTTTGGGGAGAGAATAACTGTAACCATGGAGAAGATGCCGGTGTTGTGTGCTCAGGTAACTCTCATCTACCACCGTGCGTGTTGCAGGGAGCAGGGTGGGAAGCTCCTTACAGGACATTGTCCCCTCACAGCTAGTGCTGACCCCAGCATGGTGCTTGGGGCCTGTGCTTCAGGGAGCAATATGGCGGTTCCAGTAGGGAGCGCTCTCCTCTCAATCTGTGCTGACCCCAATTCCCCTGTGTGGTTCTATGGGCCTATGCTGCAGGGAGCGGTGTGAGGGCTCAGTAGGGGACACTCACGCTCTCCCCTTGAAGTCAGTGCTGGCCCCAGTGCCCTAGTGCAGTGCTAGGGCCTGTGCTGCAGGTAGAGGGGTGTCAGTAAGGGGCGTCTCCCTTTACAGTTGTGCTGGCCCTAATACCCTGGTGCGGTGCCATGGCCCCCTAGTATGAGGAAGCCTTGTCTGTGCCCGCTGGGGGGGCGGCTCTCCGACTCCCTCGGCCACAGGCCACACAAGCCGTGCCCTCTAGGCCTTGTGTTGGGGAGTGACCTCTCTCCGGGTTGGCAATAGGCACACTTCACCCCTCCGCCCTCCGAGGGTCCTCCTGCAGTACCTAGATCCTGTCCTCCTGGGCATTCAGAGTAGTCACAGGTTTGATACACCCAAAGGAACAGGGTACCAAGGTGACCAGCTCCACCTCCCATCTCTGCCTGATTTAAGACACAGCTCTAGATCCCTTCATAGTGATACCAAGGACAAGTGATTTCACAGAGCTGTCAGGGGAGAGCTCATTCCGACCTTGCTTACCTCTAGCTTGTTCAGCCATCTGACTGTGCATCCTCAAGGTCCAGTCTTCTAACGGGGCTCTCCTCCACCACGTGTGACTGTCTGTATTGCTGCCCCTCAGGCACACTGAGAAGATCAGGCTAAGCCACGTTTCTGCATTGCAGCAGTCCCTGTGGCCAATCCAGTCAGGGGCCCACTAAGCCTAGCCCAGGATCTGCGTCACAGGTTGTAAATACAAGTTAGGGCTTCTGAAAATCCATCAGCACGCCAGTCTCTCTATCCCAGAGTTGCTGCCTCTGTGTGACCACACAGCTGTCAGCCCAGCTCTGCCATCATTCATCTGAGACTGGTACTGGGCTGGCAGTACTAGACATGAGTCCAGCAATGGCTGCCACAAAACGATGTTGCCAAGTCAGTTGTGGCAAGTCAGGAGGACCCGCAGGGGCAGGTGTTTGCTTCAGGAGGGGGCCGATCTGCTTGTAGGAAGTGTGCATTGCCTCTGCCCTGGTCGGAACCATTGTCAGCCTGGTGCGCAGCAGGTTCCTGCCAGGCGTCCCTGCGCTCCAGGCAGTTCTAAGGGAGATGGACTCTGGGTGAGGTTTTCAGGGAGTTATGGAGCCAACGCATGTAAATTCAATACTGATGTCAGGCTAAGGCAACCACTAATGACAGGGGTGACTGTGTTCAGCTCCCAGTCACCAAGATGCTTATGCCAGTGTCTGACCCACAGGAGTGCACAGTGTCACACTGAAGCGAATACCAGCGCCAGGAGTGAGGGTGTAAATCTGCTCCCCAGGAGGTTCCTGCCAGCAGTGCGGGGGGTGATCTTTTTAAGTGCTCTAGTGCGTCCAGTCTGCCTAGCTAGGTGACAGCTGGCTGGGAGGGAGTGGACAAACTTCAACATTGCCCAAGTGATTAGCCTGGTCAGTGGTGGGGATCCTTTGTCAGGCAGTGGCTGTGTGTAGAGATGGGTCAGATCCATCAGCGGGAGGCGCTACGTTCCCCAGTGACTTGAGAGATCAGATGCACAGGAACCTCCCTGAGTGTTTATTCCCTTGGGTGTTTGCAGACGCTGGCAGCTCAGAAGTGGCTCAGATCCGACTGGTGAACAGCAGGAGTCGCTGCGCTGGGAGGGTCGAGGTGCTTCACAACCAGCAGTGGGGAACCGTGTGTGATGACAACTGGGACTTACAGGATGCCGGAGTCATATGCAGGCAGCTGGGCTGTGGAACGGCGTTATCAGCCCCAGGAGGGGCTCGATTTGGGCGAGGGTCAGACCCTATCTGGCTGGATACTGTCAACTGCACAGGAACAGAAGTTGCCCTCTCCGACTGCAGGGCTCGGCCTTGGGGAGAGAATGACTGTACCCATGGAGAAGATGCCGGTGTTGTGTGCTCAGGTAACTTGCATCCATCACATCACTCTGGGTGGTGTAGGGATCAAGCCGGGAAGCTTTCAGCACAGACCCAGCTCTCCTGTCTGAGTCAGCACTGCCCCAGCATGGTGCTAAGGGCCTGTACTGCAGGTAGAGGGGTGTCAGTAGGGGGCGTTCTCCCTTTGCAGTTGTTCTGGCCCTAATGCCCCAGTGCGGTGCCATGTTACCCTAGCACGAGGAAGCCTTGTCTGTTCCCGCTGGCGGACAGCTCCCCGACTCCCTCGGCTAGATGCCACACAGGCCTTGGGGAGGGGGGTGACCTCTCTCGGGGTTGGCAATAGGCACACTTCACACCTTGGCCCTCCGAGCATCCCCCTGCAGCACCCAATCCTTCTCTCTCTGGGCATTCACAGCAGTCACAGATCTGCTGCTCCCAAAGGAACAGGATCCCAAGTTCACCAGCTCATCCTCCCATCTCTGCCCCAATCAACAAGTGATTTCACAGAGTGTAGAGAGTTGAGAGGTAGGAAGGAGAAGGGTTGGAAAGAAATTGTTCCATGGCCACACTGACAAGAGACTGATTGGTGACAAGCTTCACTTCCACACTTCTGCAGTGTCTGTGACGAGTTAGCTCTTGGGAGCTGCCAACTGATGTGCCAAGACTACCTCTGCCTCTGTTTTCCCTGTCAGCTCGGGACCCCAGCACCCTGTCTTGCTGAGCAGACATGCCCGTCTGCTCCAACCCAGACCCAGGGTCTGAATTACTTGCCCTAAAGCTGCAGACTTAACTGAAAGCAGGTTACAGAAGTGTTCTTATCTATAACGCTCAGATGCCCAACTCCCAATGTGGTCTAAACCTAAATAAATCCATTTTACCCTGTATAAAGCTTATACAGGGTAAACTCATAAATTGTTCGCCCTCTATAACACTGATAGAGAGAGATGCACAGACAGTGAATATAGCCTGTCTCCACGGCTGTGTGTCTCCGGCTGTGCTTTTTTCTATTTGCTGACTGGCTCAGCCGAAGGGATTGCCATGGCACAGGTGACAAGCTTCACTTCAACACTTCTGGAGCCTCATATTCCACATTTTACATCTCTTTTCAACTATGTCCCATCCAAACATTGTGCCCCCATTAAGGTGACCAGTGGGCTGCTGTCTCTTGGTAGAGACCTGACATACCACCTCTGGTGAGCTATTGTGCATATAGCTCACCCAGGGGATCCCCGTATAACTCTAGGCATCCCTGTGCCCTCTGCCAGTTGGCATCTAGTTATCTCTGGGCCAGACTCCTCTGCGGAACAATAGGGACCTGGGGAACTGCAGATTCCACTAGTTGGATTTGCTGTCAATGGAGCCTGCAGCCGCTCACTCAAACGAAAAATCCAGGGCCAATTTCTCAAGAGACTGGTTCCCAATCACTGTGTTCCTGTGGATTTGCATTTCAGGAAATTAGTCCTGAAGTTGTAACTTCCCCAAGAGCTGGACACAGGAGACACAATTCTTCCTCACTTTCTGTCCTACACAGCATACATATTTCCCTGTCCTGTTTCTCAGCTGCCCTGTCCTACCCCAGAAGTGGCTGCATGTCAGTGGGGGGAGTCTTCTTCTTTTGTGTATGTCACAAGTCGATATCTATGCAACCCTTCTGCCAGTGGTGTCGGAAGCGACTAGGGCTGGGTTCCTTTCCAGCAATATAACACAGATTGGCTTGAGCATCCACCCAGTAACCTGGGACAATTACACACCACCCCCTGGGTGCTTCTACGAGGTAAAGCTTCCCCTCTTGCAAGCCCAGAGTCTCAGTGCAGAAAAGAAATTTTTGAAAAAAAGGATGGAAGGACCCCGGCATTAACTTGGGAAAACACTACAAATAGGATTTATAAACAAAACCATGAGAAAAACACCTACCCCAGAGTATTTTGGGCAGTGTCTTTTGCCTCAAGTTCTTGAGTCCAGCAACCAAAAGTTCCTTTAAGGTGCTGTTCCCTTCTCCCTGCACCGCACCCCACTCACAGTGGTTGTCCTTGGTTAGTGAAGACCCAGAGTTCAGAGGTGCACCTGTGTGCACCTGAGTGTGGGGGTGGGGAGGAGAGTGCCTGGCTCACTCTGCGTCTGGGTGCTTGCTCTGGTGGCAGCTGCCCTACCAGCCACTCACCACTCTGCTCACCCTCACCTTCTGCCGCCCCCGGCCTCTCTGCTGTGACCTCTGCAGGTCGCTCTCCTGAGGCTCCACCCAGCTCTCAGTGACTGTCAGCTCTCAGTGGGGAAATCTCAGTGCTGAAGCAGGCTGGGCAGAAACACTGTCTCACAGCAGGTGATTTCAGCTCTAGTGATCACTTATACCGAAAAGACTCCAATGGATCATAGAATCATAGAATCAGGGGTGGGCAAACTTTTTGGCCTGAGGGATACATCTGGATGGTGAAATTGCATGCAGGGCCATGAATGCAGGGCTGGGGCAGGGGGTTGGGTGCGGGAGGGGTGCGAAGTATAACAGGGGGCTCAGGGCAGTGGGTTCGGGTGCAGGAGGGGTGTGGGGCATACGAGGGGCTTAGCGCAGGGAGTTGGGGTGCAGGAGGAGTGCGGGTCTGGCAGGGGGCTCAGAGCAGTGGGTCGTGGTGCAGGAGGGGTGCGGGGTGTGGCAGGGCTTGGGGGAGGGGGGTGGGGGGGCGGGGGGGCGGGGGGGC